GATTAAAGAGACATCAAAACACTGCAACAAAGGAGATGAACACAAAATAAAAAAGCAAATTGAGAAACTTGTGACTTGCACTCGACCTACGACGATGACCATCTCTCATTTGATCATTTTGGCTTCCGGGCCAAGAAGAAATACATTGGCGTGAAAATCTCTCTCCTGTAAAACAAAGATTTAGAATTTGACCCAAAGAAAAGAGAGTTAGTTTGATTGAATCTTCAATGTGAATAGATATAATAAGCGCGGGGGATAAATCTTCTTACCTTCCACCGTCAACTAATCCTTCCGCGGCCTGCTCCAGAAAATTTGATACCCTTTGGCTTCCTTTAGGTGCGAGTCTTATGTATTCAAGGACCTTGACCTGCCAATAAAATAACAGGGACAAGTTGCGATCAATCAAATGAAAACATTTTTAAAACAGTTGATGAAATTTGGCACATGAGTCAGAGCAAGTTTTCTTTACCATGTTTCTTGTTATGAATCTTCCAACAGCTGTTAGACGGAAGCTACTAAGGGAAAATTGATTTTTGTCCAGAGGTAAGTACCATGGAACCGGAGATTCCTTGGCCAGATCCTTTTCCCATATTATCTTTTATCCAACGCAGACGATAATAGTAGTTAGATGTTGAAATGTTAATCGCGTTTAGAAATAGAAAGGATCGTAATTTAGATACTTACTTCAAAACCGGCCTGCTTCAGAGCTTCCAGACATTTTGTAGTCAGCCTAATGTCAGGCAAACCATCTCCAATCTCTATCTCTGCCTGCACAGTGAAGTCTCTGTTTGTATTCATGTTGATAATAGGTGCACAAATAATATAAATATATGCAAGGACGAGCGAAACCTTGATTTTCTGATGTTCGGCGTTATCAGGGTCAAATGCATCGGTCATGCACCACTCATAAGCAGCGAAACATTGCCCAGGCTTTAGCACTCTGTAGATCTCTTTGTAGCATCCATACTGTTGTTGAGATCACAATGATTAATCATAACTAATGCAGGGAAGAAAACAACATAGATAGCTGTTTAGAACTTCACATACTGCATCAGGTGCGTGGCAGGTTGCTTCTATTGCATAAACTGCATCGAAACTGTTTTCAGGGAATGGCATCTTCATGAAGTCAGCCTGCACGATATGAAAACCTTCATCAGTTTGCCCGTTGCAAGGTGTTTCCCTATCATACCCAAGATTTACTACTTATGCTGTAAATACAAGAGTTTCAACTGACCTTGACAAAGTTACATGTCTTGTCGACACCTGCAAGTCGGTTTAGTTCCTGCAAAGAAGAGGATGTCAATACGAATTGTAAGAGACACAAAGGAAAAAGACCAGAACTCAGTTGATGGGATTTATAAAGTAAATCCACATCCCTGAATACACCAAAACCAAGTTCAAAGATAGGAAATAACACTTTTAGAAATTTCCAGCAACCGATTCATCTTTCACAAATATAGATATGTTACCTTGCCTCTGGTGATCTGGTATTCGTTATTGTTGAGCCCGGTGACCGAACAATTGCTGCAGCAGAGTAAACACAAACCCAATTCATAATTGAAATATTCTCGTAACTGTGAAATCTACTTCATAACTAAAGTAGGCTAGAAGTGCAGGATGTAAAGAGTGTGCGTCGTTGGTATGTGTAGTGATTTTACCTGAATCGTGCAATTTCTCTCAGCGGTCCACCAATTCCACAACCTACATCCAGTACCTATTCAGAATTACAAAGAAAATCAGCATCTGATGGCAAAGGGTCCATTTCGAGCGCTCAGATAAGGTTATCAAACCTTTTGTCCTGGTTTTACGCCAAGCTGGAGAGCAAGAAAGTGCTCATGTCGTTTAATACTCTCTTTAAGCGATTCTCCGTTCCATCTACAAACCAAAAACTCATGCTAATCAATATAAATAAAGTATCAACATCTGCGGCTGCAAGAAAGAAAGTTTATTGTATAACTTCAAAAAGACTTGTAGAGAAGTGGCAAGTCAAGAATCACCTGTGTGCAAAATGGAAGGATTCACCCCATCCATACTCATAAAAGCTAGTAGCAAGGTCATAGTACTTATTAACCTGAAATATACATCCATTCCAATAGGCAATGATTTGTGTGTTAATAACAATGTCAATACTCATCTATTAAGAATATGATCTCATGGAACACTAACGATGAGGTCATTCAAAGGGGGCATGTCTCAAGTTGGCCAAAACTTTTTTAAAATGTGGAATAACATTTGTTGGATGATTTACCATATCTGTGTAATTAGCTTTTCTGTCTTCCTCGTCTCCACCACCGAACACATGATACTGCTCATACCTGAATCAAAACACCCCCCTTCAGACGATTAATGAGAAATCATAAAGCCAGAATTTTTCATATGATGCATGCATCTTCGAGAGATGATGATATTTAGAATTAACAAAGTTCAACATTAAACAATAAATCAATTGTTTAATAACACGGGTCGGGCCCTCAAGAACGTGACGTTAGTGACATACACGTCAAAAGGATCTTTATAGCAAAAGAACACGGGACCATCTTAATCTTCTTTTGCTTCTGCATTATTAGCTCAGATCCAAACAGAGAGGCGAAAATTCAAATGCATCGTTTTCGTGAAATTTGTGGAAATATAAAAGAACTAAAATATTGGGAGATTGTGTTACTACTTACTACATAAAAAAAATATATATATATATTAAAAAATGGTGCATATAACATCCAATGTTGATCTTGAGGAGTTATATATCTTATCAACGAGAGAAGAAGGGATCAATCATCAATATGCAT